GCCTGCGGAGGCAGGACGGCCAGGTCAGAGATGGCACGGAAGGGATCTCACCGGCAGAGCCGCTTGGGTCCAACCGAAAACCTGCTGATCATTCGGACCAATGCGTCCATCAGATCGGGCTGCCATGCGTGAGAAACCTGTGCGGCATAAAACATGTAAAAGCGCGCAACGTTATTTATATCAATCTTCTTGGATGCCCTTTGAGGGGCCATGGCAATACAGCGTGCCACCAAAGTTCATGGTTGCAGTTTCCCTTTCAGATGGGGGGAGGGGGGACTCCAGCCCCCCCCCCCCCTCCCCCAACTTTGGCAACAGTCTTCCCCAGCTCTGAACTAAACATGAGCCAAATCCGAGGAGAAAATCATCTGTTGCTGTATTTTGAAGGGTGTCATTTTTCATTGCTTAGCCACCCACTCTTCTCATTTTGCGGAGCTAAGCCCTGTCCAGGCTTGTATTGAAGCATATTACGCAAAATGTGAATGACTAATTTTGGCGTTTGTTGTCTGAAACCAGGACAGGTGTTTTGATCCGCAAAATAAGTTCAGGGTGAGCCGGAAAAAATGACTAGACCTTCCCTTCAAATGCATAAAAAGCGGGTTTCTCCTCGAATTCGACCCTCATCTCAAAGTAAAGTGGGCTATTCACATCAGAGCCCATCATTGCGAGTCGTAAGTTACCCTCACGTCAGTCGGCCCATCCACATATCCCCGCACGTCAATAAGTGTCCCAATAGCGGCGCGTTGCTGCCAGTCGCTCAGCCCGGGGACAGGTCCGTCGCATTTCCGCGAGTCCTCTCCCCATCCTGCGCGTGCCGTCGCCTCTTACCGAGACTCTCCACCACCTGGTGCAAGTTCCTAGCGCGCTCCACGGTGTTGCCCTGGCGGAGCGCGTCGAACGAATTGAGGCCGACGCGGATGTTCTGGAACCAGATGCGATCGGAGCGCTGGTGATCGTCGACCTGATCCAGGGTGTCGAACGCGTACACCTCGCACCCGAGCCGCTCCATGTCCGTCTCGAACGTGAAGCTTTTGTCGACCCCGATGGAGTAGGTCAGGCAGCTGCCCGGCGTGATCTTCAGCCTGCCAACACCAGCGAGACGAGGGTGACACTGCGCCAGCGTCGGCCAGTGGTCGGCTGTCGCGGGGGTTAAACCACACAGTACAGCGTCGGGTGCCGCGTGGGTTGAACCACACAGCACAGCGTCGGGTGCCGCGCGGGTTGAACCACACAGCACAGCGTCGGGTGCCGCGCGGGTTGAACCACACAGCACAGCGTCGGGTGCCGCGGAGTTTGAACCACACAGCACGGCGTCGGGTGCCGCGGGGGTTGAACCACACAGCACAGCGTCGGGTGCCGCGGGGTTTGAACCACGCAGCACGGCGTCGGGTGCCGCGGGGGTTGAACCACACAGCACAGCGTCGGGTGCCGCGGGGTTGAACCACACAGCACAGCGTCAAGTGCTTAAACCACGCAGCACGGCGTCGGGCGCCGCGTGGGTTAGATCACTCAGCACAGCATCGGGTGCCGCGTGAGTTGAACCACACAGCACAGCGTCGGGTGCCGCGTGGGTTGAACCACACAGCACAGCGTCGGGTGCCGCGTGGGTTGAACCACACAGCACAGCGTCGGGTGCCGCGGGGTTTGAACCACGCAGCACAGCGTTGCGGAATTGGTGACGATATGGCATGGCGGAGAATGGCGACTTCAATACTGAGTGGGAAGATAAACGCTAGTTACTTGTTAGTAAAGCTACGCTTGCTGTTACCGACTGTAGCTTTGCTCCGAACGGTGCGCAGACCAGCACCAACTGATGTTTTTGTCTATGCTGTTTGACAGGTGTTTGACGCCTAGCGTTGATTTGGTGTAAAGTGGAGCCAACACATGCTTCACTCCAAGACGGTTAAATGCAAAAGAAGACAAAACTTACCAAAATCCATAGAGAAGTCACGGAGCATGCATTGTCATCCATGACAAATGCACGTTGACACGCATGGATGTATATCAGAGCTGAGGATTCGGATTGGTGCATTCGAATGGATTCGAATAAATTCAAACATCGCGGATCCCCAGATTCTACGGACGAGAACTTCGACCTTAAAAATCAAGATTCCGATCCTAAAAACGACACCAAATTATGCAGGTCGTCATTAAAATATGCATCTAAGTATGTAAACTGTGATCCAGCTTCACATTCCCTTCATATAGGCTGATTTTCACACGTCTATGCCGGTTGTGCATCGGTCTCAGTCGGCCGTTCTCTTCATCATACGTAACATTAGTTTGACATCTCGATCAAAGTTTTGAATCTATCCAAACGTATCAAAACATCTAATTCGAATCCATATCCGAATCCTCCTACTCATAGCGTTGGAAGACAAAATGAAGGATTCCTCAGCTCTAATGCCGGTGTCACGCAAATGCTGTAGCGTGCAACGACATGCCCGGTCATGCCAAACGCGGTGGACCAAGCGCGTAGTTGTTAACGAGAGCAAAAAGCGCCCCACAATGTTAACGCCGTAGTTTTGAGATGCAGTGTTATCGGTGACTTTAACCTTGATTGTTTCTGATTCCGTTTCATATGCAGCACTTAAGTGACGAAATCAAGCACTTTTCAGACTGAAACCAACCAATTGCTGGCTGAATACAGCCATATGTGTTTTCGCCAGGATTGCACTAAACGGTTGAAAGTTAAACAAGCCAGCGCGCGGCGAAATTCAGCGATTTCATTCCTCTGTTCCCGGATAAGACGCTGTGTGCTTACTGGCGTCAGAGCCAGCATGGATCTGTTTTATGAATTGAGAGGGAGTGACAGCTTGTCATGAAACGGCAGGAAAGTACATAAATTGTGCCAGATACTCACGAAATGACTTTGTCCCCCCAAGTTTGCCCATAAATGCATATTTCTCAGGTTTTGCCCATTCAAAGAACATTTTCAGGTTAGGTTGCTTTTTCCGGACTTCAGTTTGCCTCCCACCAGCGCTAATTTGTCCTCTCAATCTCAGAGACGCTGTCACACCCATACCCTAAACTAAAAACGAAATGAGCTGACAGCAGAAGCGAGCAAGTTTTGCAAGAACCGTTAGCTGCTGGATGCAATACAAGTTCACAAGATCTTGATCCGTCATTTCGAACACCGCAGTCGACGATTTACCACAAGTTGACGTGCGAGATTCGTTTAGTTTCGGTGGCGAGTCAGACAAGGCAATCTTACGACACACATATGACAGTTGACAGGCTGCGTCCTGGCCAGAGGCTCGCTCCTCCATTTTGTGGAGGGCTAACTAAAGACTGTCCACCTCTTCCGCATGTCTTATTCACTGGGCTGGCCCGAGCCTGATCAGTCGGCATATTCCCTCCCAGCTCCCACGCGAGCGGTGACCACTCCACCGCGCGCGCGCTCACCGTTTGTCCAGGCAGATCCACTGGAAGTGGGCGGCCGTCTCGTTGCACTTGGTGGCGGTGCCCCACTCCCCGTGCAGCACCTCGCTGACGGCCGTCTTGCCCAGCTGCACCATGCTCCGACAGTCGGCCGTCACCGTCTCGATGTCGTCGAAGAACTCCTCCGGCCGCTGGATGGCCGGCACGTGGCAGATCTCGAACCCGTCCTCGTCCAACTGAACGCCGCTCTTGCGCGCGCGCGCCGCCTTCGGCTGACTCCCATCGTACACGAAGAGCAGGAAGACGAGGCAGGCCACGCAGAAGCCGGCCGTCGATAGCGAGAGCACACTGCGAGTCTCTTGTCGGCGGGCGTCCGTCTTCTTGGCGCGGCCGTAGTCGTCGGCTCTCGTGAACATGGTGGACCCGTGCGGCGGCCGGGACACGTCTGCCGGGGCTGGCCGAGCCGCGTCGGCCGAGGCCGGGGTCAGTGACCGCGCGACCGCGCAGCCTCCGCCGCCGCCGGCACCGGGCCGCACGCCGGGCGCTCGGAGAGACGGGCGGACGGAGGGACCTGCGCCCGGCCGGCCGGGAGAGAGGGAGGGAGGACGCCGTCTGGAAGAGAGGGGCGCCACCGGTCAGAGGACGTGGCTCATGGACTCTGACCATGAACTTCACACAACTGGTCCAGGCCGGAGATGAGCGGGGTTTATTGGGCTCGGTGTCGATCTGTAGGTGAGACATTACTGACTTCGTGCCCACATTTCGACGTCCGCTCATCCCGCACGTAACGTTAAGATTCGCTATAAGTGTACTGCCAAGTAAATGCCGCCTTAGTCCTGGTCTTTCAACATGTGTATCTACATCCCCAGAGACTAGCAACCAGCAATCGCAAGTGTGGTCACTTCACTGTTTTTTGTTTGTTTTCTTTTGTTCCAAACAGCCGTTGAAAAATACGGTGTAGTGTGCATAATTTTACCCAGTCGTCTTCGCATTGCTGAACCGGCTCTTCGAACTGCAAAATTGCTCACAGTTATAGGGATTTAAAGCAAAGCATAAAGTCTAAGTCATCTTCTTTGCAAGGACCAACAATAAAATAGAGGAAGGGCCTTTAAGTCAGGAGCGTAGATTCACAAAAGAGTTAGAGGAATGGGGGTTAAGGGGGGGGGGGGGCTGAACAGTAAAAATGACCCAAACTACCCCGACACATGGCAACAGATTTCTCCCGATATTTCGCCCTCTTTCATTCAACAGTTGGGAGGGGGGAGTCCAAGTTGGGGGTTGGGGTGGTGGCTGAAACCCATACGCCCAATTGAACAAGAAATTGCACTGCTTTAAGTGCATAATCTATCTATGCAGAGCATTAGTACATACCACGCTCACCGAAATCGTCAATTTCAAGGTGAAGAGCGTTTCGCATTTGTTACACCCATGTGCTGGATGCAATTTACCGCGCGTGGTGCCGTTCCAGTGTTCTTGCGGATGACATCGGTGGCCATACGACGGTGCACAATATCGCTGAATCCTAAAGCGTTAAAGCTTTTATTCAGTACATGGATATCACCCCTTCACGCAATACTTCCAACCTGCAACCCCGGCAGGCGGGCTGACGGTTTATGACGCTAATGAGGCAGACCCACAAAGTGACCAGAACCCTAAGATAAATCCCTCACATTTCGCCTTATCTGTCACCAAACGCTCGGAAGCACTTGATAAGGTGCCTGCCGGCTGGGTGACACAAAGATGATTAGTACTTGGCCTTCTCTGCTGAATTGCCCGAACTCTGCACATTTCGGTTTCAGGAGCCAAACCCGTCATTGCCCAGCCCCAGGTCTGTCGACCTGTGCATCTCCGCGCACACACCGTGTTCCGTGACGTCACTTGGCTGGGTCATGCCGTGTCCTGTGACGTCCCTTGGCGGGATCATGCCATGTCCCGTGACGTCACTTAGCGGGATCATGCCGTGTCCCGTGACGTCACTTGACCGGATCATGCTGTGTCGGCCGTCTCATGCTCTGACCGCCAGACGTCTCTGCACCTCTGCATGGTGGCCGGCCTCTCCACCGGCTCCGCCCGGGCTCACCCCGTCCACAGCGCCGGCGGCAGGCCGGAGGAGCCACTGACCTCCGCGGAGAGCAGCCCGCTGCCGCTGCAGTCACAGTCGGCAGGCCGAGCAGCGGTCGGACGTCCGCTGCAAGGTGTCTGTGCAACAGTGCATGCGTGCAATGGTGCAACACTCAACTGTGCAATGGTGCAATAGTGCAACAGTGTAGACAACAAATATCGGAGTACTGGAATAGTGAAAACCGAGTGGCACAATGCTGCCGTATTTTGTGAGTGTGAGCATCACTATTGCAAAATTGCTTTTGTGCAGCGTATGACATTAAAACTGTGAAGCAGTGCAAGACAGTAGTTGGGTGTAGGCGGAACATTGCGACTGCGCGGTGCTCCTCTGCGATTGATAAACAGCGTCTATGAGCAAAAGTGCAGTCGGGTGAAGTGACAGCTGAGCCACGAGTGCAGTCGGGTGAAGTGATAGCTGAGCCGCGTTGAAACAGTGCACGTTTCCATACGACGTCGGATGACAGGATACGACGGTGGCTACTTATCATTTGTATCTGATAACTGAGAGCATTGGTCTCTCACCGTCAAAAGGACTGAGAGAAGCTAGCAGCGGTGGCACGAACTGACAGGAATTGTGACCAGACGCTGAACAAGTAGCTGTTTGGTTTGTGGCAACCAGGCAAATGGGGAATATGATCCGTAAGTTGTGATATATCATGCTACATCGAAGTACCTAATGATAGATGCATGTACTCAATGGCGAGCACACTACGCAGTGTGCAGCATAGTGCGATGTTTACATTGCTGAGGCCTGACCCACCATCGGCCACATGACGCGGACGAGTCTCTGAAGATTTAGACGAACCGGAAATGCGACAGGAAATATCTCCCACGTAAACTGCCTGTACCTAGAAACATTTCCAAAATCCGAAAATCTTATCCAAAGGTCTGCTAAAAATTAAACCTAGTGTTGCAACTGTGCTGTAGATACGTGTTCCTTGGAAATCAACTTAGCTGTGCCAGATTTTCGAAGGGATAGTCTGTCCTGGCTACGCAGCCAGGTATGTTAATGGCTGTCCGGTTCTGTTGAACATTGTGTTGCATAATGCTGAACAAAGAACGTGGTGTGTCAGAACAGTTCCCATCAAGCTAGGGTCTATGACATAAAAGAAAGCAAATAGAATGCCACGTGGCTTGCGCCGACGTTTGTCGTCGGTGAAAGCTCGCGGTACCCCCCCCCCCCCCTGCGATGTGTGCGCTAAGAATGCTATTATAAGCGCAAGGTGGTACTAACCTCCATGCACTTTCTTTCAGAGCTGAGCCTGATCCTGATAATGCTGTACTGCGGGATGTCATTTGGCCTGAGTTTGGCCAGTGGGCCAGGCGCCCTTGAACAAGGTCAGTACACCCTGCAGCGCATATTGAATGTTATGGATGTTATGCATGGACCTTGGCTGCGCTAAATAAGTCACGAATGCACTGGGCATTATTGACTGATCATCCACATTGTTTCAGTGCAGGCCCTCGAGAACGAGATAATATGTCGATGACCTATCAGGGTAGAAAGATTAAAGCCATAGGTGAGGTATGCAATACTCCAGCCTCAACAAAACCTAGACTTCATTATAATGACTCAGCTCTAGGGATGTGGCAAAAATAGAAGGGCATTTGCACTACTAAAGGTGTAGATTAATGCACTTGGGCATGGGAAGTGGCGCAGGGGTGGGCTGGATCCCCGACTTTCGCGCTAAACAGGGATGTTTTGATTGTGAGCCGGAAGAGTAGCACAATATGTAAAAAAACAACAACACGTATCCTGAATTCTCTCAACATGGACCACTTCTACCGAGTAAAACCAAAGATGCGTTTTATCTCAAAGCGTCAGTCGTTCAGAAAACTTTAAACTGCGGCCCTCAGCAGACTTTTGTAGCTGATATACCTCTTCGCTGGGCCCTTGTCCGTGTCTTCTCAACCCCGATGTCTGTCTCGATCCCTCTATGCGATAGAAAACTACGGCAATCACATAAAGTTACCGAAACACGAATAACATTAGACAGCGCATTAGCCACATCTTTTGCACAAATCTGGCCTTCGCCCTCAACCAAATTTACATTGCACCTGTTGTGACCAGTATGCAATCTTTCGGTTAAACCCCAGGCTTCAAAGTACGTTCGTACACTTTAAGTGTTCTGTATGCATGGATTAAGTATGATGATTGTAATAATGATAGCGATGCCGCTGCTGCTGCCGCTGCTGCTGCTGATGATGATGACAATGATGGCGATGATAGCGGTAGTAGCGATGATGTTAACGATGATGATGATAATGACTACAACGACGACGGTGGTGATGATGATGATAGTGGGATGGTGAACAGGAGGAGGAGGAGGTGGAGGAGGAGGAGGAGGAGGAGGAGGAGGAGGAGGAGGAGGAGGAGGAGGAGGAGGAGGAGGAGGAGGAGGAGGAGGAGGAGGAGGAGGAGAAGAAGAAGGAGGAGGAGAGGAGAAGGCTGACGCGCATTGTGCTGATGTTGATTTATGTTGAATGTCTGCTTTCAATCTGCGCGGCATGTCCTGTTCTGAATTCGTTTATCGCCGCCATTCGTACTTGTATCATAAACACCAGTGTGCTGCAAATATCATACACCGTTACAGACGTCGCTGGTAGTCTCGTGGAAGAAAAAGATCTCTTTTCGGATGACTCGCTCGGCGCCGCAGTCAAAGAAGAACTTTTCATCGAAGTACTCTCTCGTCCCCGGTCTTGCGTGGTGAAAGTGAACGGGAAGACCGTGAGTGGATCGTTCACTGGTCAAGGTTTGCTGCATCTACCTGACTACATGGCGGGTCTCGTCCGCATTTTCCAGTGAGAGTATGTGCTAAATGCGCTCCGGTTTACTTAGTGTATTTGTCCATTTGTCATGACGCAACAATGTACAGGATATGCTTGCATTCGTGCACGTTATCGAAGGTGTCCTCGATCCGTCACATCTTGGCATTACTGCGATAGCTGTCCACTATCCAGATATCTTCTTAGCTTAATTTGTCGCTGAATTTCGACGTGTTTGATAGTTACACCAGATTGGAAATTGATTACTTGATAAACTAGACGTTTTCGTCATCTGCACCGGTAAAGTCTAAAAACTCCTGCCTGCGGTCATTTGCGGTCGACATAAATCGTTAACATTTGAGACCGCGTTCGGTGGACACGTCAGGGCATGGTACGCAACCTTGTAGCGTTATTACAAACGCACGTGCCATCAACTAGAAATATGTGGGGCCCTTCCAAGGACGAGCCACCACCGTGTGCACCTGCAGTCCAAAGGACCAGCGGCTCCTGCCATCACCCGAACGTCATCAGCAGATTCGTCGCCCGTGCCGCAGGTCCTGTACCGCGACAAGCTGGATGCCAAGCCACCCCCGTCATACTTCAGCACCCACATGTCGATGGAAGGCACGTACGCGGTGGTCGTGCATCCGACCTCGGGAGAGAGGACGGCAGATGTACACGCGACGGGTCATGACCCGAACGGCGCCTTCTACGGCATGGAGGAACTCCTCAACAACGTGCAGAAGGGACGGATCGTCGCCTTCTGCACAATGGTGAGCACGCCCGGCGATAGTAATCGCCACGCGTTTGCATTAACGAACCGGGGGTGCAATGTCACTCCAGTGTCTCCTGAAGTGTCTCCTCAAAAGGTCAGCTCATCAAAACGAAGTTTTGGCAGGTCCAGTTCGGGGTATTTCGTTACCTAGCCGATAAGTTTGGATTTCTGCCGACATTTGACACACCTTGGATTTCTTTCTGTCGACTGCCGACTGCGACAGCAAGCGCGCAGTTTAACCACGTTTAACGCAGCCTGACCAGGCAGCTGTAACGGATGGTACAAAGGACCTGCATAACGTTTGCAGACCAGATTCGGTGCCACGTCCACTTTTTACACTTTTAATCTAACGACTCGACTGTCCAATTCACGGGGGTGTCGCACTAACTTCTACTTCGTTGCCGATAGTGGCAAAAGCGGCGAGGCTGCCAAGGATCAATCCAGCGCGGCCAGGGGCTGTTTGTCCTCTCGCACTGATTTCGGGCCTTAGCGGTGATCAATACCCCGGTGATGCCAGTGTAGACAATAGCATGGTGGTACACTTCATAACACTAATGACGTCACAGGTCTCGTGGAATTATTCCCTCAAACGGTTCACAGCATTTCTTCCAGCCTCCAGTCAGTATCTGCCGTCTTCACTTCGCAGACCGAGGCAGCTCTCTTAAAGGTACAAGGCGTAGTCCGTGTTACAGCCTGGGACTCCAGCAATATCTGCCGCCGTATTTTCGCAGGGCGAAGCAGCTCTCTCCATGGATTCCAAGGCGGAGGATGTGTTTCGAGCCTTGAACTCCAGTTACATGCCGGACCTGCAGATGCGCTCCATGTTCGCCATGGTCGCTGTCAAAGACGGAGACGTGTTGGCAGAGGGCTACAACGTCAACCTGGACGCGCTGGACTGGACCCACCCCGGCTACACGCTCCGACTGACTGTGTCGGTACCGAAGAAGACCTTTAAAGGTTGGTGCAAACTGAAAGGAAAGTCAATTTTGAAATAGCGTTTGTTGTGCCGTAGCACCCATGAGCATCTATAACTATAGCAAAGCTCAGAGCTCTTTAATGGGGGTTCTGATTTCGAATTGTGAGATTTTGACCCCGGTATGTTGATAAGCAAACAGGAAACTCTATGTAGACATGGTACTTATGTAACTTGCACACAACTTTTCTGCTCCTACATTTTATCCTTGCCACAGTTGCACTCATTCATGCATTCGCCATGCATTCAGCACTCTTGAAAAGTTATCTCCTGGGAATTCTCTTACGCCGTCATCATGCATGTCATAATTTTATGGTCCTTCTGTCTCTCTGGTACATTATATAGCATCATCATACATTCGATACACACTCTCTTAGAGCACATCATACTTGGGTGCATTACCCTCTGTATTTTCTGTTTCAGAGGCTGTGTGCGACCAACTCCAAACGCCTGAACACAGCGAGAGGGCAGCATTCTGCCAGAAACATGACGGATACCGCGGGCTTTGTGACTGCGATAACCTGGTGCCCACCAAGTATGCCCCCAAACCGGTACGCTCCATCACGTACGATATGTGTTTGATTAGATGTGACGGATATCCGCATCAGATCAGACCGATGAATGCGTCCACTCAGTCGGCCGAGGCAACCCTCATCTGGCACAGCCAGCCAGCCAGGGGCGCAGCCAGAGCCTCGGTAAGAGGGGGGGGGGGGGGGGCACAGGGCTGACGACGGGTCCCTGGTGGTGAAAGGCCCCTAAATACACTTCTTCGCCTGCTTAATTTTGAGGAAGCACGATTTTCGCCGTTTTATTTTTATTTTTAACTTTTTTAACTAGAACAAAAGTCAGGGATCACCAAAGCTTTCGTATCACCTTTCATTTCAGAGGACCCGACCAACGCTAGAGGACCTCTGACAATCTGGGTCCAGCACCTGTCCGTGCTCAGCAAACGTCCTCTAGCCGACACGGGACTCTTTGCCGACGCACTACCCCCTGAAGGGCACTGTGGGCCGCTGACTGACACAGGTGGCCCTCATTATGGCAGGGGCCTCGACCAATGTAAACCGCGTGACCTGGCCTCGTCCCTGCCTGTAAAATGGGCCCCTGGGCTCACCCAACCCAGAGCCGACTGCTCGGTGCTGGTGGTCTCTGGTAAACCGCATTGTCCCAGGTGTCTTTTATTGGTGTAAAAGACCATCGGACTGACGCTTGATGTCACGGGCCTACGGGCGGGAGCTTTTAATATGACCTGCAGCCAGCTCCTCGGGCCCCTCAGCGTTCCAGTTGGGTCCTGAGTCCCCGGTCCCCGAGAACCCATTGCATCCATCTCCAGGCTCCTTTCGTGCCCGGCTGAAAACGGCCTCCGGTTGAATCCGGATCACGTGCCGACGAGCGGGACTCCCTGTCGGTCACCGTAGGCTCTTGGCCGACAGTAGGCCCCCACTGTTACAGGGACTCCGACCAATGTACATCGCCGGCCTCGGCTTTATTCCAACCCGCAAAATGGGTCCCCACAGCTCAGTCCGAAGCGAGGCCGCCTGTCCGATGCTGGCGGTGTCTGGCTGAAATAGTGTCCGCGTTGTCTCACGGGGGTCTCATTCGGTGCAACAGGCATTCTGACTAGCATCTCAGGTAACGGCCCACGGGCAGGGATCCTTAACGTGATCTGCAGCCCTTCGGGCGCTTCGGGCCCTTCAGCCTTCCAATAGACTCCCAAATGGACCCTTCATCGTCGGTCCCGAAGGGTCCATCGGACCTACAGGCCCCCTCGAACACTGCTCCTGGTTGACTCGAGGCCCCTTGCCAACACAGAACTCCCTGTTAGGCACCCCAGGCCTCTGGTCGCCTCAAAGTGCCCCTCATTCACTCAGGGGCCCCGACCGCTGTAAATCACGGGTTCCGGCCTTGTCCCTGCTTGGAAAATAGGCCCTCAGGCCCAGACCGACACGGAGCCCTCTGTGCGGTACTGGTGGTGTCTGACCGGCACCTAAGGGCCTAGTCGGTCCAGACCGACACGGAGCCCTCTGTGCGGTACTGGTGGTGTCTGACCGACACCTGAGGGCCTAGTCGGTCCAGACCGACACGGAGCCCTCTGTGCGGTACTGGTGGTGTCTGACCGGCACCTGAGGGCCTAGTCGGTTCAGAGTGCCCTCAATCGGCGCAAAGGGTACTCTGGCTGGCGTTTGAGGTCTCTGCCCATAGGGCCAGGAACCCTAACACGACCTCCAGCAAGCCCTTCCGGCTCTTTAGGCCCCAAACGGGCCCTTAATCGTCGGTTCTGAGGGGACCTTTGGGCCTCTCAGGATCTAAGGGAAAGGCACAGGGGCACATACTCCCCTTGTCCTCCCTGCCTGTGCCACTAGTGCGTTCACCTCGGCACACTTTTGCATAGGTTGCAACTGCGAAGCCGTTTGTTTTGTGCAACAGTCCCTCACTTAACCACTGCCCGATGGATGATAAAACAGAGGATGTTCTGAAAATGCCCGCGCATGTTAAATATGTGATGACTTGCCACTCAGCTGTTAGCATTGCCCATATTCTCTCAAAACTCATTGCGGGTTGCTGCAGCTCCTGTAGTTCAAGAACCTGCATTAATCGGCTTGACTTTTAAAATATTTGACTGCCCCCGCTCTAAATAGTGTTGACTGATAGCTTACCTAGCTCTGACGTACGTTTACAGTTCGAAGACGGCACGTTCTTCAAATTCCCCGTCGTCATAATGGCAAGCAACCGACCTCAATATTTGTTCAGGTGCGTACTATTTCTGCCTGGATCGTGCACTTCTTGCAGCCAGACACGAATGCCAAGTTTGGAACACACCTAGTCTGCAAAATGCAGAACGGTGACATAATTTTTACCAGCGTTTGCCACATCTTCCCCTCTAGGCCGCGCGATGGGTAGACGACGGCAAGGCACTGACCCCGCTAAGCTGCACAGCTATACCCTCACTGCTGTCTCCAACCCTGCCGTCTCTTGCTGGACGAGGCTTACAGGCTTGTGCAGCGATGCCGGCACCCGGCGCTACCATGTCCCACACGGCGCTCTAAGCCACCATCACTGCAACAACTGCTGTCTCCAACGCCGCGACGCTCCATTCAGCAGCCGCTGCGGCGGTCTTGTGCCACACCAGCGCCCTCCCTGTCGCCGCAGGTGCCTGTCGTCGCTGCTGCCGGTGCGCGGTCTGGACCTCTCCCGGCTGGTGGTGTTTCTGGACGGCGACTTCCCGGAGGTGCGGCAACTGCTGATGCTGCTCGGGATCCGGCTGCACCGGCACGTGGTCGAGCCGATCGGCCTCGCTTCCCGCGCCGTCGGCACGCGCATCGGCTTCAACTACAGGTGCGGCGTGTGCCGCGGGAAGCACGACCACCACGTGCGCGGGGCGATCCTGCCACGGCTCAGTCTTGTGCGGAGACCTGTGGAGTCGGGTATGGGCGTCAGTGGGCCGAGTGCTCCGGGCCGATCTCGTGTAATGACCTCTAGGGTCGGGTCTGGACGCCGGCGGAGACGGGCGTTCCGCGCCCGAGCTCGTGTAGTGACCTCTGGAGCCGGGCTGGGCATCGTTGGGCCCGGGTGTTCCGCGCCCGATCTGGTGTAGTGACCTCTGGGGTCGGGTCTAAGCACCGGCGGGGACGAGTTCTTTGGGCCCGACCTCGTATAGTGGCTTCTGTGGTCGGGCCTGGGCACCGGTGGAGACGGGCGCTTTGTACGAAAATAAATGCACATCTTCCGTAGGCTAATGACAATATGCATGACAGGTTTGCTATGGAGCGTTACGCATGAGAAGGCGAATCGCTGGGTGACCAGTGTCAGGTAGTTGATTTGTTTCGTTTCTCAAGCAATGCATATACGATGGGCGTAAAGCGATTGCGATATTGTATGTACCAGGAAAACTTGGAAGAAAATGCTTGGGAGGGAGCGACCACCTGGTTTCTTTGACATGGAGTGTTGGCATTGCGACAAGCCCGCAACATCCTGCAGCAGAAACGTGATCCCGCTTTCCAGATATACAATAGAGCAAGCATTCAACATGTTCCCGGATGCTGAAAAACTCGTCCTCTTGGAAGAAGATCTGGAGGTGGCACCAGATTTTCTCAGGTCCGTGACCGGCACATGGATTTTGGTGTTGCTATGCACGCAAAGCGAGCATTCGCTCCGCCAATGACGGCTATCATTGTGCGTTACCAACACGTATTACCACTTTACTGTGTGGTATTGCGATAGCACGCAAGAGTTACGGCGGTTTCGTCGTCGAGCCATTCGTCCGTATGCCGCCTTTGGGCTTTCGTGGCCCGGCAATGTGGCGCGCTGGGTGACGCCATGTCCCATACTTCCAGCTACTTCCAACAAACGCACCATCTACTTGACAAGGACGTCAGCTTGTACTGCATATCCGCCTGGAATGATCATGGGTACCAGCACACGGTGGGAGATCCAGCCATGCTATACCGGTGAGAGACAAGATCGTGCTGCCACCTCTGTGACCTCAGCCGGAGTGTCAAGAGGTCGACGAGAACGTAAACCAACACGGCTCCGGATTCTGTTCCACACTGTTGAGGCGGCGAGGATGCTGAGTTGATGCATGGTCCAAGCCACGTGAATCTCGAGAGCTTTACGCACTGCCTGTCGTGGACCGTGCGTCATCTTTGATAGCGCTGGATGTTTTATTTTGCCTACCGACATGGCACCAGCGCGCGTCGCATGACTTTAAACTGCATTGCGTTCTGCTGCTTCAGGATTGGTACTCTACCCGGACTAGGATGGATGCTGAAGCGAAGCTTTTTCTTCAATGAAGTCATTCCGATATGGCCTGAAGACTGGGAGGTGAGATGCGCGCGCTTCTATCATGCTGCTTACGTTATGTGCTGTACAAGATTATCGGCATTCATCATGTAGCACAGGAGTGTACTTATATCCGTGCGAATGGAATGGACACAGAATGTGATTTGTTTGCAATAAATGCCAATCAGTCACGCAATATGTAATATTTGTATATATTTGTATATATGTCACGCAATATATATATATATATATATATATATATATATCGCTCTCTCTCATTCTTTTTTCTCTCTTTCTCTTTCTCTCCCTCCCTCTCTCTCATGGACTTCAAATAAAGACGTGCGCGTTAGCATTCCACTCCTCATTTTTTAAGAGCATATTCTCGCCTGGCGAATGCCTCCACTCTATGATGGTCCGGTGCACCTCTTCCGAACGCTGCTACAGCACCGCAGAGAACCACCAGAGCCGTGTCACCTGCATGTTGCAGACGTTCGACTGGGACGTCTTGCTGAGGCTGGGCAGTATCCGGAGAGGGCGCGACTGCATCATTCCTGACGTGTCGAGGACCTACCACTTCGGCTTCGTGGGAAACCACGTCAATTCCGGCATGCAGTTCGCGTTTTTCTACGACCACGCTCTGAACACGATTCCGGACGTGAAGCTCAAAGACGTTGACAGGTGTGGTAAAGGCCCAGCCAAACAAGACGATGTTCACCAGGTGGCTGCACGCGCTGCTAAAACTCTGTCGACTTTGAAAATGAGCTGGCTGTCGTCAGCTGGGAATCGGGCTGCTGCAGTCACCCAAATCACTCATTATGAGCGCAGAAGGTGCCTTCACCAATCAGCTATTGTGTTCTCATAAAGGCGCCTTTTAACCCGACCGCTCAAGAGTACCGGTAAAGTACAGTCGAGTTCATTCACCAGCATCAATGAGTTTTAATTCCATATAAGCCATAGGAATCTCTAACTCTCAATGCTGTAGCACGTTTCTTTCTCAGGTTGGATCGGCATATGGTTCATAGTGGGAATATGTGCTCTAGAGTGTCTATCTCAAATTACACATCATCGCATGTTTTTTTATTACAAGCGTTTATTCGATCAAAAAATGCATCCCGACATCACTATTCTCGTTTCATACAGCATTTAGCTTTTGAGCTAGGTACACACGGTGATGTAGCTCAACTGTGATTACATGAATGCTGGCATTCGCTCTTTCCTAAAGGATGGTCTTCCATGAATACGAGAAGCTACTGCACGAGCTGGTAACCACCGGCACCAAACTGGATGGCGACGCTCACACCAACTCAACCTCCTGCAAGCGCATCATCCCTTCCGATACGAAGGCAAGACATGCATGCGGAACAGTCCGCATTCTTGACAACACGCTTAACGCTCTCCTGGATTCGCCGGTTTTCATTACGCAGACTAGTAACGGTCGATGCGACCCCTGCCTTTTCCGAACTAAAAAGATGTCGGTTAACAGAAAACATCAGCGGGGCTTGCTCAACAAGATCCCGAAATATATATCAGGTCAATGCCAATTTCCGCGAAAATGAAATTTTTCGGCGTTGCACACTCATATGCTTAGGTCACGCTCATATGTGCGAAACAAAACCTGAACAGGCACATTCTTTGCCCGATTTCGCGTACATTGCCGTGTAGTTTTTTTTGCGTTTAGACCCTCTATTTATGATATACGATCCGTTATGTAACCATGTCGGCTCACCACGTGTGGTCCGCGACATTGGTGTGGCGCAAAACACGATGCACCACAGGCTACAGAAAATGTTTACGTCATTGCACAAGCCAGAGAGACATTTTCAGCAAATCTTAAGGTGGTCGCATCACCCTACAGCCCCCCCCCCCCCCCATCAAAGCGAGTGCAAAACCGGCACCGATGTACTTCAAACATTATCAGAAAAGGTAACAAGCGCCCCTGTCGATCACCGTGACATTTATGTCATCACATGATATGGGTCACGTCGACGAAAAGGTGATCACGCTGTGATCGATTTGGTGCACGTTAGTTTTATATTGTTCACGCATTACAATGCGTAATGCGTGAACACCTTTTCACGCACGACGCCGGTGGTCTGGACCGGACGTGTCCAGACTAGCTTAAGGTGTAAAGTAGGCACAGTATGCACTGGCGCCGTTCCCGCCCCTGCGGGTGTCACGCGTGTGTCGTGATTTCTTCCAGAACCAGACATACCTGATGTTCCTGAGGATGTATGGCCCAGAGGACACGGAGCCCTGGTTGAAAGTTGCCACGGTGAGTACAGTCTCGTGTCATTAATCCTTTTAGTGTCCGAGACGTGGCGTCGTCAGAAAGGCAGACTTCGTGCAGAATGAAAACGGGTCTGAATATCATGGTGAACAACTAAGGCGTGAAAGACTCCAAGCTTGGCATGTTTTCAGTTTTCATCCATTCGACTTTTTGCCACGTTTTTCTTCGCACGAAATTTGTGCATAATTTGCGACAAGAAAATGTGTCCACTGAGGCAGGGCTAACAACCGGTGCGTGTAAAGCCGTGCATACGCATGAAGTACACACAGACGAATGAAGTAGGTATGAGTTTATATTTGAACTGCGGTATAGCACGATACGTCTGCCGTTGAGATTCCGAAACCTGTTAAAAGCAGCGGCACGGCAGGCACATAATTTTGTTCAACGACATTGTGAGCTTGATCTAGCTAACGGATTGATGCAGTCGACGTACATCTTAAAGCAAGGGACTCCGAAGATCGTACGGACGTTTGCACAAAATGAACCTAATTTTCCCGACCAGCGTGCAGGTTTCAATTTTGTATGCTCGAGGGTCACCAAGGTACAAGTACGCACTTGAAGGCGTGATATCGTCAATCAGAATATAGACATTCGGTTCTCCGCGTTTTTTCAATTAATTTTCGGTTCGTTCCTCAGCATACGGTGATCTTAATGGTGACGAGCAGCGACAGCTAACATAATGAACATCATCTGTAGCCGTGTGTTGCGCACGAGCACTGGGCAAACGCGTCAAAATTTTTGGACGTCATTATCGCCACAGCACGTGCTGCGAGCTTGTTGGCGAACTAATCTGCGCGATAGTCACATTATGACACAAAATGACAGGCATAAGCGTCCGAATTTCTAACGCTCTGGTGACGTTAGCTCAGATCTTGAAAATGTTATTCATGGTGCTGACCCTGGTACACAAATGTTATCGTGCAGGAAAACTGTAGCCTCGTGGTCACCAAAGATCAAGGCCGTAGCAGCGATTGCAGGTGGTCTGACGTTACTTCATGAACATCAGTGACCACATGCTCCCACTTGAATCAAGGTGCCTTCTCGAAAACACATAGAGTTTCGTTGATTATGGCAGGAGCCCGACTTGGCCCCCCTTGACCCCATCGAACGGGTGAACCATGCGAAATAAGGAAGCTTGATATATATGTATATATATATATATATATATATATATATATATGTATATATATATATATGTATATATAAATATATAAATATATATATATATATATATATATATATATATATATATATATAGTTGCATTATGTTATATATATATATAAATATATGAATATATATATATATATATATATATATATATATGTATATATATGTATATATAAATATATGAATATATATATATATATATATATATATATGTATATATATAAATATATGAATATATATATATAGTTACATTATGTTATATATATATATAAATATATGAATATATGAATATATGAATATATATATATATATATATATATATATATATATATATATATATATATATATATATATATATATATATGAAAGATAGCAGGGACGTACGAAGCCACCCGTTCACTTGCCGTGCACGCTGCGGCACATCAAGTGCGCAGTGAGCTGTAGGGTGTGCACTGAAGCACATAAAGGAAGCACTTAAACCGAGCATTCTGTGCCAACAGTGCCTCAACCTCTGGGACATGGACAGCCGTGGTGACCACCATGGTATCTGGCGCTTTTGGTACAACGGAAACCACATCATGGTGCTCGGAGTGCCTTTCTCTAGACTCTCGTGAGTATTCGGGTTCGCTGTGAAGCTGAGCGGTGTGTGAAGCGGCACCTGATTGCCTTCCCGTTGGTCACGAGCCGCTAGCGCTGCATTTCTGCCTCGTGCTGCCCTTCTCCGAGAGTCGTGTGTTGCGGTTCGTTATTCTCGCGGAACGGCGCCGCACGCACTGTTCAGACATTTGGTTTTAGCCAACAGATCGCAGGGCCCTTGAGAACTTCGAGGTGTCTTCAGGCCTTTCTCGTTAAGTGGCCTTTTTCAGGCCTTTCTCGTGGCCTTTCTCGTGACACAGGCCCGTCGGCAGGGCGTTCGCTGTCAACAACAAGGATGACGTGACGGTCTTCGGGGGCAAACGGAGCAAGGCCATGCGGGTGGCCGGCCGGTGGCCGCCTGGGATGCGCCGTGACAGCACGGCGGACAGGCAGCGCCGCATGCGGCTGTCGGCCGCCGCGCTCCGCATCAACCCCGCCTTCATCTCCGAAGTGACCGAGAACAGCCGCGCCTGATGGCGCCTCTCGTCCGCCTTCATCTCCGAAGTGACCGAGAACAGCCGCGCCTGATGGCGCCTCTCGTCCGCCTTCATCTCCGAAGTGACCGAAAACAGCCGCGCCTGATGGCGCCTCTCGCCCGCCTTCATCTCCGAAGTGACCGAGAACAGCCGCGCCTGATGACGCCTCTCGCCGAACGGCCTCCCAGCCGAACCGCCTCAACAGCCGATCCCAAAGCTCGAAATCCATCTGGCCGATCAGAGGAAGTCAAGCTGAAGATGGGCGCATCTGGTAGCAGCTGCTCTGGGGACAGGAGCTCTTGAGGTCGACCCAGCGGAGTCAGACCCTCCCTTCCAAGACCCTTCCCACGGGAAGCCGGCTGTCTCTGGGAACAGCTACTTTGGAAGAGAAGCCCCTGCGCGTATACGGCTGACACCACCATCAGCTGAAGCGACCACATCCTGCGAGCCTGGCCCCGAGGGCTGCCGCTCCAGAAATACACCGCGTTAGGGATGATGTTTGGAAACGAATGTCTCTGACTCTGTTCCTAGCTCCATCTTCCTTTATAGCCACTGCCACGTCGATCACATCTAAGATGGCGAAAAACCACCGACACAAGGACTGAATTGATTATGCTCTATTTTGCAGGGGAGGGGCATATCGTCCATCCCGAAAGCAGAAGCAGACACTGCGCCTCTAGTCGCGTGCCTGACAGTCCGCAGGCGAACAACATAGCGTGGGTTGAAGTCGGTTGAGAAATTTACTGTCCTTTATATCGAGCAAAATATGGCGATTGCAGACGTACAAACAGCGTGGTACTTGTACATCAACACGGACCCTAATCAGCAGGGCAGCCACAAGAACTGCCGTGCCTCGAGTGTTTGCCGCCTACCACGGTCAGCAGGGCGGCGGCTGTCGTAGAGGAACGTGTCTTTGAGGTGAACCTTCCCTCACATTACACGTTGACTCAAGTGTCGGCTAGGTCATGCCCGAAACATGTTTTCGGGACCAATGTTCTGCTAGCCCTAAATCCTGACGACATTGTGCCAAATGCGAGTAGCTTTCTTGACATGCATCGTGTTGTAATGCATGAAGAAAGATTTTCAATATTCACAACCGAGCTAATAAAGTGTAGTGTGCACATCGACCGTGCTCTCCCCCCCCCCCCGTCTCTCTCTCTCTCTCTCTCTCTTCTCTCTCTCTCTCTCTCTCTCTCTCTCTCTCTCTCTCTCTCTCTCCTCTCTCTCTCTCTATCTCTCTCTCTCTCTCTCTCTCTCTCTCTCTCTCCTCTCTCTCTCTCTCTCCCTCTCTCTCTCCTCTCTCTCTCTCTCCCTCTCTCTCTCTCTCTCTCTCTCTCTCTCTCTCTCTCTCTCTCTTTCGGTCGTCATCACGGTGGCGCTTATCTTGTCATTTATCATAGTGAAAGAATCTCATGTTGTCAGGGGTATCAGTTTATGGACGTGCTTGTCATGTCATGAGATGTAGCGTAATGTCATGTGACAACTTGGTGTATGTCCAGAATGTTGTATTACACTGATAGGAAGCCAGCACCGGCAGCACTGATAGATAACACTGATTACACAGATAGCATGCATCAACTGAAAGCAAGCCCTTCAACATGTGTCTTACGGAACAAACAGAACAATTCCAGATAAGCCCGCTTTGAACACAAGACCTTTAAATTTTTGGTGTCGGCGCGTTACCGTCTTCACCACTGACACCAAATCATGTTCTGCCTCGGCGATGAACGAATGCTTACGTTCACCTTGTCTCTTCCTTATTATAAAACGACCATCGTCAAGACAACTGTATCAACTTAAATGTTGCTTGCACTTGTCCTGGGCTGATCTTCAATGGCATGGCTAAGTTTCAATATTCAATTCTCAACAATACATCTTCAATTTTTGGCGTATTTGGGACAGTCATAATCGTCGTAATCACATGATGGCACGGCTACGCACGACATGCACAGTGGAGCTCAAGGTTCCTGTTGACCAAACCAGTAACGCCTTTTCCGACATTTTTGTTATCATTTTCATCTGAGACTAGTATCTCCGCGACAAGCTATACACAGAACAGAAAGCAAGTCCCTAGAAGAAGAGTTCTGAGGTTAAGGGTCTGTCGCAGCAACACACTGACCGAACCAGTCCGTCTCGATCCGGGATCACATGCAATTGCCGGCCGGCTCGTGAATATTGCCGATCCTCTTGTGCCCTTGCGCTTCAAAAGCTTTAATCATCCGATAATTGATTGGTGATATGAAATATCACATCATTCGAGCCTGGTAAAAACTGCGGCTCGCTGTTCCCAAAAAAGATCCTAACTGATTCAACAAGATGAAACGGCCAGTTTATCACCAAAAGAACGAGTCATACCCATGACGCCAGTTAAAATCTGGTATAGCGAACCGATCAGACATCAGCGCTTGATCCTGCGATTACAGGTGGAAGGGAGTAAACAATCACCAAAATGAATTAAAAGCAAAAACTTGTGCTTAAGCAGCGGCTTGTGCTGCCTCGGCAGCTTAAATCGTGTCAGCTCCTGGTGATCCCAACCCATTCGTGTCGGTAAATGGGCTCAACTCGTTATGTACGCGTTCACAGGGGCACATCCAGGATAATCAAACACTGGAGGCAGGGGGGGGGGACCCAATCAGAGCTCATCACGCAGGATTGGTGGCGGTGTGTGGTGGACATCTGCATTCTCGATCTTGGCCGCGTGTATATGCGCTTGATATTTGACTTTTGACTTCGATGGTCTGCAGCCGGTGGCAGCAGCCGTTCAATATCAGGGGGGGGGGGGGGGGGAGAGGGGCGAGGTCAAAAGACAGAGGGACCGTGCCAAGTATTGCAACGCATACAGATTTTCCATAAAATCTGCCGCATAATTGGAATTACGTAGCAAGGTCACCTCTGGAGCACATACTTCTGTTTCGCGTGAGCTCTGATAAAAAAGTATGGAGTCAGTAAGGTTTTAAGGATAATTATGACAATCAAACACGCCACCCAAGCACATACATTGATCGCAGTACGAGCCTCAGCTAGGATCATCGGGTTCCCGGCTCAAACGAGGTGCGGTCCAGGGGCTCTGAAGGGCCTCTGTTAAAGTCTCATTATGGACTTGCATTGTCATTTCTCATATTTCCATGCTATGCCAGGCAAGAGGAACTCGATCAATGCAAGTGACTCGCTGACTTTCAGCGTCCCATCCTGTTCCTCTTCAGCAAAATGTGCCTCTCATCGACTAAAACCCCCTTACCATCACAAGCTCCCCCTGTTAGGCACTCTGTGCCTGGATGCACAGAGCCACCTCGTTCCAGGGGCCCGGCCAATATAGGCCCTCAGCAACAATCGTGCACACCGGCCTTGTCCGGACAACGCTTCTTCACCGCCATCCATGCAGCATAATTCAAACTACGGAGCTAGTGGCCAGATTTCTTCAAGCCAGCGCCAATGGAGGCTAGTATGCGGTTCCATTTGCCGTTCTGAAACTGGTGACTCTAGGTCACCATCTTTACCGTCAAAAACCACCTAAACCACTTTGATGATTTGCAGCCAAGTCAAAACTCGGAAGCTATTCAACCGGTCTGCTTGAAACCTTTACTAAAAGATAGAGCGCATACGATTTTATCAGCCGTCCTGCAACTGGTGACCTCAGGTCACCATCTTCATCTTCAAAAACTGCCTAAACCACTGTGGTGGATTACAGCCAAGTCTAAACTCGCAAACCATCCAACCCATCTGCTTGAAACTTTAACCAGAAGATAGAGCGCATGCAATTTCACCGGCCGTCCTGGGACTGGTGACCTCAGGTCACCATGTTCACCTTCAAATACCGCATAAACCACTCCAGGACACTGTAGCCAAGTTCAAACTCGGAAGCAGCCCAACCGATCTACTTGAAACTTTTACCAGAAGATAGAGCGCATGCGATTTTACCAGCAGTACTGAACTTGGTGAGCTCAGATCTTCATCTTCCTCTTCCTCTTGAATCGGCGTCAAAATGCGCCGTGTATACATCAGTCGTGTATGCACCACATACGCTGGCAACATACACGCACGTACAGGTACAGAAAACACCAAAAGATACACACACACACACACACACAGTCAAACTCTGACTCCCAGCGTTTCCAGGATGTATGCCTTACGCACGCCTGTTAGTACTGGAAGCACATCCGCGTCATCTCGTATAAAATCACATTTACCTATGAGATCGGGAAAACGCGACGCAACAAATGTCTTCGTAATATGATAACACATCCCAGTCATCTTTTTAACAGTTGCTACTTTTACCACCACATCTCCAACAACTTTTGGAAACTCCCATCGCTCTTTATGAAACAGGACGATGTCGTGAGGCTCGCGTAACGTTCTCCGATCTATTTTTCCAATGCAAGATTTACATTTCTTTGTTTTAGGAAAGCTTGCAACTATAAAGAATAGTTTTTCATTATGGTAAACTGGGATCTTAGATTTGAGAGGTCGCTAATGTCGCTTTCTCCCTACCGAAGGTGGGATTGTCAGTGACTCTCTAATTTTGGTGCATAACGGCCTCGGTGCTTGGTTGAAAAACTGATCGCGCCTGATTTTGCGTTGATGCAAGCTGATTTCGTCACCGGCCGCTTAAGCAGATGCTCGTAGGATTTATTGATTGTGTATGATTCTTGGCGGTCATGAGCTCGGCCCACTCAGGCCTTCTGGCGCATAAGCAAATCACGTAACGTCTCAACGATGTGACAGATGCCGAAAGGCTGCCGACCGGATGCCGCGGAAATGACACTTTTTATACTCCCAGTGTGGTTGGTAGATAATTTATTCCTCACAATTCCTCTACTAATGCAGTCAAGTTAGCATTTCTTGCACCACTTTGAAAACTTTATTCCCTTCTGACCCTTAACACTTATCCATTTGGCCATGCATGTCCCGAGATGTTGAGAGAGTAAATGGACATCGGTCATATGAGCCAAACCAGCATTTTGATCACATGGATTTGTTAAAACGACATTCTGCTCAAATACCCCGATGAGGGTATTACTAAGCTTACGCCCAATATTATGCCTGGAATGAATGTGGCAGGGGTATGGTTCAGCTCGGGGAAAATATGCTTTAGATGCAATGTGGAGAGCCTCGTTATTGTCGCTCAAATTCCACGGACTCTCATTATCTTAGCCCCGTACATTTTTATAGTTCTTGATGCTGCTTCATGCGCAGTAATGTAACCGCGCGCAGTAATGGCGCCGGTGTCGCGGCTGCCTTGTGTGCGCGGCGGTCGGATGTTCGGTATCGTAATTAGTTAAGTTCTAAGGCAAGAGTGTAGATGACGTGTTTTGGGTGTAGGTGTACTTTCCTACCTACCGTTAGAAAAAATCATTGCACACCATTCGTCGTGTTCAAGGTGGCACATATCGTAAATAATCTCAAAACAGGTAGAATCATGCCCCTACCTTCGAATTTCAATAACTTCGATGGCGGGCTCCCGAGCGCCGCGCGCACCGCACCGCCTGGACTCCCCAGCGCCGTTTCTGCGTTGCCGTTGCGTAAATACAATATTTCTGCGTACCAAGAACTGTACAAAATGTACGGGACCAAGGTAAACCATTCGTCGTGTTTAAGGCGGAACATACCGTAAATAATTTCAAAACAGATAGAATCATGCTCCTACCCTCGAATTTTCATAAATGCGATAGCGAGCTCCCGAGCGCCGCACGCCCCGCACCGCACTGCCTCGACTTCCAAGCGCCGTTTCTGCGTTGTTGCGAAAGCACAATATTTTTGCTTATCAAGAACCATAAAACATGCACGGGACCAAGGTAACAAAAATAAAGCAACCAAAACCGCTTCTTATCGAGTTTAGGTACATTTATGAAACACGCAGGCCAAAATAGTCCAGAACATATCCTAAACTAGCCAAACCTAACCTAACCTAACCTAACCTAACCTAACCTAACCTAACCTAACCTAACCTATAACCTAACCTAACCTAACCTAACCTAACCTAACCTAACCTAACCTAACCTAGCCTAGCCTAGCCTAGCCTAACCTAACCTAACCTAACCTAACCTAACCTAACCTAACCTAACCTAACCTAACCTAACCTAACCTAACCTAACCTAACCTAACCTAACCTAACCTCCCCACCCTATATCCCCTTCAACCCAGCATCTCATTGGCATCCATGTTCCATGCCATATATAGGTGCCATATAGTGAGCTTTTATTTAGCTGCCATGTTCTCATTTTGCTTTACATTCCCCACCCAATCCCCCCGCAACCCATGGTCCCGTTGGCGTCGAGGACCAAATTTCATGGATTCTTGCTACCTTGTCCCGGTACATTTTTATGGTTCGCAGTAATGTGACCCGAGCAGTAATGGCGCCGGTGTCGCGGGTGCTGTGTGTGTGCGGCGCTCGGGAGCTCGCCATCGTAATTATAAAAAAATTGAAGCTAAGATCATTAATCTACCTGTTTTGTGATTATTTACGATACGCCCTGCCTTAAACATGACGAATGGTTTACTTTGGTCCCGTACATTTTGTACAGTTCTTGGTACGCAGAAATATTGTATTTACGCAACGGCAACGCGGAAATGGCGCTGGGGAGTCCAGGCGGTGCGGTGCGCGCGGCGCTCGGGGGCCCGCCATCGAAGTTATTGAAATTCGAAGGTAGGAGCATGATTCTACCTGTTTTGAGATTATTTACGATATGTCATGCCTTAAACACGACGAATGGTGTAAAATGATTTTTTCTAACGGTAGGTAGGAAAGTACACCTTGACCGTGTTTTGCGATTAATTATGATATGTTCTGCCTTAAAAACAACGATTGATGTACAGTGCCCTTTTGTAACATCAGGTAGGAAAGTACACCCTGACCGAAATTTCTCCATTCTCGTAATTATTCTTCGAGGAATAAGACTATTAGTACATTCTTATTTATATGATTGATGTTACTGGGCCATCACTATGCCTTTGATTGTTGAATTCTGCTATCCTTGAGTATTGCCCAAGCTTTTGGTGAAATAAGTGATGAATACTGCAGAGTCAAGTGTATTCACATTTAATATAAATCCTGTGGTTAATGTTTCAGCTGGGATAAATACTTCTAAGTATCTATCATGGCCTGCTGCTTTGTACAAGAATGTAATCACAGCAGCACAACAGATGAGTGCTCTTTTTTTGCTTTCCCTGAGGACACCAAGTCACACTGCAAGTGGGTGAGATCAATTTGTGGGTAAGTCTGATTGGCAAGTTCTCAGCAGCTCGGCTGTCATTCCCAGTGGTATACAAAAAGTTTGGGCTCCTTGGCCTTGCATTAAAGTTTGACTGTTTTTGACCATTTTTACTATTGTGATCTGGAAACACAAGCTTGGATGAAAATACAGAGAATGCCAATTATATGCAACGTGGAAGTGACATCCCAGCAACATTTTCAGGGCACATGGTGAAAATTCACAAGTACAGGTGGTGTTTGTTAGCAAGGTGTGATGCAGTCATCACTAGTAACAAAACCTATCGAGCCCAAGTGTCAAAAAGTTGTTGCCAAAGTATTTGTCAGGAATGCCGTCTCCAAAAAGTTACCAAATAGTCAAAAATTTAGCTCATTGTGTCCTGGCTGAGCCTCATGTATGGATGTTCCAAGGTTTATACTTATGTCGTGATTGTTTTACAGAATTTGTTCTGATTTTCATCCATGTAATGTTGTTTCTTAGTCATTTTCATTGACATGCTTGTCTTAATGCTGCCTCATTGCTTTTTCAAGAAAATTAATCATATCACAACTCAATCCACACCGCATTGATCCTAGACCTTGTCCAGCCTCCAACCAGAGCCCACCACATAGGTCTAGTTACATGGTATGTTGAGAAGAATGTATATAGAACATTAGAACACATGAAATGCAATGGTACTTACGCCTGTCACTGTTACTATTAGGTCAATCAAAGTTTAAAAACTGGCAAATGAAGGAATGAGGAAACCATATGAACTGCAAAGGCTGCTTAGGAAGAAATTATAGTACCACATCTTGCATCTTTTCTGGAATGTATTGGATCTGTCTATGGTATGCTGATTTTCAGTGACTAAAATAGGTTAACTGGGCATTCATAGACTGTGTGCCAGACTCCAAACATCCTGGTTAGCTAAACAAGAAGCAGATGGTGTCAAACAAGAAAAAAACAAGAAGCAAATGGCTTCACAAGTCTAAACAACTAGGTGTGTGATTTGAGGGTTTGTAGGGACCAAAAGGATGGCTGTAAGTCATCTTCAGCAGTATTGGCCCTCACATGCCATTCAAAAGGCCCCAGTGTGAGATTTGGCCATGCAGTGAAGTGAAATCTACTGCATTGACATTCACCCAGACCATGAAATGGTCTAAGCCGGGTCTGGTGCCGGTGCCTAATGGTCAATGCTGAGACCAACACTGACATTTACCTGGAAGGAATGAAGCTGTGGACTGTTAGTTATGTTGGCCGGGGTCCCTGCAACAACATGGTGCCCCTGTGTTGGCCAGGGGCCCACAATGCCTCGTAGAGGGTCCTGTGTCGGCAAGGGGTTTGGAGTCGGATCATCTGCTGAACAGGGACAGGGATGGGACCCTGAATGCCAGAGGGCCCATGGTGTTAGTCGCGGTCCTATGACAATGACATAAGATATGACAACTTTTGACGATGGTCGACAAGAAGGCAATGGAACGCAAGGCAACAGATTACAAAAGAAATACGATAAGAGGAGACTCTACGAAAAATGCTGTGAAATACGATGTGGCAAACTGGCCTATAAAATATGACAATAAAAGAATACGATATGACAAGATACGGTGCGATAAATACGATACGATAAAACTAGAAACTGCAAGCTACGTACGAAGTGGTAACGGTGAACGGAAAAAGATCATGTACGTACATACAGATGGCATGCAATCACACAAGCGTTGGCTTAAAACTAAGGCGCATGACCTAAACATAAGCTTTATGAAATGCGAATTTTTAATCCTTCAAAGGTCAGATGAAGACTTAGTGGCGGTCAGAGACAGGCGGCTCCAAGTCGCCGTGGCACGATTAGGAAAAACACACTTGGTGGTTTCCAATCGGCACCTGGGCTGGTGGAGAGACATTAACATGGAGGAAGGAGTCTGTCTCATTGAAAGAGAGGGGCGTGGCTTCAAAAAAGATTGGATGGCGAGGGGGGAGGGGGGGTACTTTGCATCTTCGGGCCTTGAACACTTTCAGCACTTACTTTTTATTCACCAAGTCATCGGCCCAGACCAGCCTACATTGCTGGCTGGCTGGCTGTGTTTTCTGTTAGAGACAGTCCTGGCGGCAACATTTTTAACTTTTTAAATCCCCTGCATTTGTCACTTGTCGCGCCATCCCATACGCAAAGATAGTAAGATATACGTGGAGAAACGTAAGCTGCGAAAATATTTTGGAGAACATCAGATGTAAAGTAATGGTTGAGGCGGCACAGCGAGATTAGAATTCCTTTGCATATTTGCACGCCTCTGGTGGCATGTTTCTCCCACAAACGCGTCAAGTCTACAATTACGCCGATAAATTTGATGTGTCTTGAAGGCGAGATAGCCTTTCCATCTATCGTCAGGTGAAAAACGCAGGTACAAATAGTTGTCAGTGAATTTGATATTTTGTGTAGTAATTCACTTGATAATTTGGTGACCTTGGCGGAGGTCTTGGGTCACCAAAAGACCTAAACATTGTTTTGAAGGTTGCGCACAGTTCCATGCTGCGAAACTGCTCGGTCAATTTTCACGCAACCTTCATCATTCGACTCAGCTTTGTCTATCCACTCGCCCTTTTTGCTTTGGTAGTAGACGACGCAGTTCACGGGTCACCAAATGACTGAATTACTGTCCGCCGCTTGGAGGAATGAAATGCTCGGAAATTTCCCGTCACGAAGCCTCGAGTGTTCGGTCGCTCATGGGCAATACGGTCCAGCGACTCATGCTTTTTAATTTGATGGCCTTGGTTCTGGTCACGGAACATCAAATGGGAGAAACTTAAGCTTGTAAGCTACAGAAAGCTACAAATATAAGTATGTAGCTGGCTTTCTGCATCACATGTGCGCTTTTCTATGTTGTCAAGATTGTGCTAACAATCCAGCTTCGTTCAAGCACTGGTTAAATTTATTCCTCCCACGACGGGACCGAGGTGTATTCAAGTTTTCCGTTTCGGTGCATTTGCATATGCTTTTTGAAACAAAAAAAAAAACAATGAACGTCGGGAATAGACAATATAGAGTTAGACACAAAATATAAGAAGATTCGAAGCACACGATGTTGTCATGATGCCGCGTTCACGCTAACATTCCCCACGAACTTTCCAATCAAAATGGATCATCCGTTTCCACACGGAGGATCGGCTTGAATCAATCTAGATACAGCAAGATGCGGCTTGACGCCCATTTGAGAATAAAGCACATGTCTGCCAGAAGCCGTTCTGCTAATCTGTTACATTTCTTACAGGCGCGCCATAAATAACGCCACGCATTTTTACCATTAACCCCTCCCCGACACACAGGCGCCGTGAAATCGTGTAAGGAAGATAAAATGCAAGGCGGTTTAAGGGGTGTGTTTCAAAAATGTGGTAGTTTCATCTACGTCTACTTACAATGATCCATATATCTAGCAAAACAGATGATATACCAACTTTTCCGGCATAATTTATGAATGATTTGACTGCCTCTTAGTGCAGGACAGCTGGTCAGGGTTATACGCGATGACATAAGCCTTGCAATAGATCATGACGGCAGTTACCCTTTTTGCATGGGCAGAGTGGTTCGAATTAAGCGTTACTAACCCTCGACCCGAGCTTTCAGGCAGGTGTAAACACCCGCGGCAAGGTCGAATCACGTGCCGGCTGAAATATTTTCCACTTGGAAGCCGACCCGCCTTTCAGTGGGTACTATTTTATTACAAACATTTGAACATGCTTTTTGACCGCTTAGTTTCGCACCTCCAGTATACATGAACATCACATTAAATGTCAGGTGTTGCACCCGGTTAAGGTCGCTCTCAAAGTGCTGTTGATTGTGTGACAATTTATATTAGTCTGTGCCTGGACCTGAGGAAATATTAACCAGTGGAACGTAAGCAACTTCCCGTTTGGTCTAAAGGTATGTCAAAAACCCAGAACTGAAGTCTGTGAGCTCATGGCCAAGTCAGAAATAGTATCAAAACTTTTGCGAGAAAATAGTGTTTATTTTTGAGGCATTTGATGCACCATCTTTTATAAGCATAATCATCACTGCACATCTGTCGTCAATTTCAGGAAGGGTGGCGTTGACGGTCAACCATCATGTGACTCAAGAATCTGCTCCTGCCACTTTCCCAATGGTGACGAGAATGAGGTGCCGACGCTGTTCCCGTGGAACAACTTCCAGGATAAAAAATCGAGGTGAGTGATGAATGTCTTTTTGCTAACTAAATTTAACAGCGTAAGAAGTTTTAAGTACAAATGCATGTACATTTTATGGTTCTTGGCGTCCTGTATTGTAACATCGCAAGTTATTTCAGCAGTTCCAGGACACGGTACATCACTAAATTAAAACGCTTCACGAAAAACACAACACTGACGAGAGTGCTTGGGAGCATACTGAAGTAGCAAAGCGCGATAAAGTCCTACTCATTACGATGGGGTCTGTTGACCAGTGCAGTGCGTGTTGGAGAGCTACTGATGGCCGGTGGCAGGCCGTTCCAGGACAAGAACGAGGCTGCGCGTCGAAAACGCACACTTCGCTCTGCGGACAGTATCGATGGACGTAAGGCCGGCGGCTCCAGCCTGCCTGCCGACGGCGCCAGGGTGGTGGACTGTGGCGCCGCAGCCGGCGTTGTGCACGTGCGAGTTGTCCCTGGAGCACGCGAGCCCCTGAGCGCCCCAAACACACCGGAGGTGCCGCGGTGAGTGACCAGGTCGTGGGTGCTGCGCCGAAACAGTCCGTCCAAGGTTGGTTACATGCGATCACTTACACTGGGTCATGATTTATGTGCTTCGCATACGTGCTTGCGTAAACAGAGAGGGATGAAACTACGCATGATCATGTTGGAGATGTTTTCTTCCCATAACACACATCGGTGGACTGTCGATAGAGTTGCTGACTCAGTGCGATGGAGTTTGCTGACCAATGCAGTGCGTGTTGGAGAGCCACTGATGGCCGGTGGCAGACCGTTCCAGGACAAGAGTGGGGCTGTGCGTCGAAAACGCACACTCCGCTCTGCGGACGGTATCGATGGACGTAAGGCCGGCGGCTCCAGCCTGCCTGCCGACGGCGCCAGGGTGGTGGACTGCGGCGCCGCAGCACGCGTTGTGCACGTGCGGGCTGTCCCAAGAGCAGGCAAGCCCTTGAGCGCCCCCAAACACCCCGGAGCTGCCGCGGTGAGTGACCAGGTCGCGCGTGCCGCCCCGAAACAGTCCGTCCAAGATCGGTTACATGCGATCACTTAGCAGGGCCATGATTTATGTGCTTCGCGTATGTGCTTGCGTAAACAGAGAGGGATGAAACTACGCGATTATCATGTTGGAGATGTTTTCTTCCCATAATATGCATCGGTGGACTGTCGCTGCGCACCTGCTTAGAAGAAGCTGGTCTCAGTTTGCAGCCAGACACGTTACATGGAAGGGCGTATTTTATTGAGCTTTTGGGCTTTGCCGACGGTGAGATAGAACGCCTGGACCGGGTTAATTTTCAAAGATTGGATATAAAATAGGATTGGACTGCGAGAAAGCTGCAAAGCTGCCGGGTGTATTTCAGCAAATATTGTGTGCTTAGGGTGCTAATCGCAATAAGCGTGTTATCAGCTGCTGACCATACGTCATTTGACGTCAGGCGCTGCAGCTGGCATGCTGAATTGCTTGCGTCACATCGTGATGAATAGCGAAATGTGCTAGTGTGCGGATATGCAGCACCCGTCAGCTGGAATAGCTTCAAAGAATAGTTCGTAGTTACCTCATACTCATCTGCGGTATTGCTCACTTGTGCGTTTTTAACATTAGTCAGTAACGATAAGTTTTGCATGTGATAGTGCCAGGGACTAAGCTCACGGTTTGCTGACTCCGTTTTCAGGTTGTCCTCAAGCAAAACTGTGTATTTGGTGTCAAAGAACGGAAAGAACCGCTCACCGGCGACTCTCCTACACAAGGCGAAGGACCACGCACCCGCCGCTCTCGTATGGAGGGTGAGGAATTGCTTACCCGCCACTGACACGCACAAGGCTGGAAACTACTCACCTGTGACTCTCCCGCACAAGGTGAAGAACTTCCCCGCCGTGGCTCGCCCATACAAGGCGAGGAAGAACTCATTCGCGGCTTTGCGCGAGCCATGCTCATCATCCTCGGAGCAGAAGGAATGTGACTGGAAGACTCTCTTTGAGATGCTCGCCACAGCATACCCGTATCCTCTGCGCTCGGTCGGCCTGATACGCCGGCTGCGGCGGGTTCTGGGCCAGCAGCGGCAGAACCAGCTGCTGGAGCGGGTGGCGCTCCTGCGCGCCAAGTACGCGCAGGATGCGCGCGATGCGTGCAGGGCCGTGCGCGCTAAGCTAGACAGCAAACTGGCGGCGGAGAGCGGTGAAAAGCCGGCCGCCGTCGGCCACGAGAAGGCTGACGCCGCCGCGGCTGAATGCGAGGCCTGCACGGGGAGGGCGGAGACCGATTCGGAGAAGGCAGAGGCGAGCACAACACGTCAGAATCGCCTAGTGGTATTGCGACCCGAGCCGGACCAGGCGCTGCGCGATCTACCTCATGCTAACGAACTGTACAGCATACCCACCAGCCTGAAGCAGGCGTTGCACGTGATCTTCGACCTTCGCATGGAGGTGGTGCGGCTGCGTAAGGTCGTAATGCAGCGCACGATCGCACTGGCCGAAGAACAGGTTGCGAGGGCGAACGAGGAGATGGAGAGCACGCGGCGGGAGAGCCGCATGCTGGACCAGCTAGACTCGGTTTTCACCCGGGTGCAGCAGTCGCGCCTGCTGCCCGGCGAAAGGCACCTGAAGTGGAAGAGCGAAGACTTCCTGCGCGCCATCGCACTGCGCCGGCTCTGCCGCCGGAGCGCCTTCGCCTACGTGCGCAACACGTTGAAGATCCCGCTGCCGTCCATGCCGTCCGTGCGCTCGGTGGCGGTGCGTGGTCGGATGCCGGTCGTCACAGAGCGCTTCGACGAGCTTGAACGGTGGTGGAAGCTACGCGACACCGGGCCGCAGAAAAAGCCGGAGCAGTCGGCGCAGAAGGATCCGGACGGTTCGGTCGCCTCTGAGTGTGGCCCCATGGTGTCCTCGCCGACGCCCAGTCCTAAACCGCCGGCGAGGCAGCGCAGCGGCGGTGGCGCAAAGCGAAAAGCGCGGGCCGACCGCCCAGATGCGCCCAGCCTCAAGCGGCCAGCGAGGCTGGACAGTGGCGGCGGCACGAAGCGAAGAGCGTCGGCCGACCCGGCAGAAAAGAGACGCTCCAGACCCTGCTGGGAACCGACCAATTCGGAATGCGCGCCGCCGTCGGCGCCAGGTGGCGACGTCGACGGCGGAGCGAGCCACCGCCGGGGCGCGGCGCTGGCCGTGCGGAGCAGGGGCCGGCGTGGGTCGCGTGGCGGCCGAGGCGCACCGTCCGGCACGCGGCGGCCGCGCAACAGTGCCGCGCCGGCGCGAGCTCCGTCGTCGTCGTCGTCGTCGTCTTCGTCGGACGGCGACGAGCTCGACGAGAGCTGGGCTTTCCCGAAGCCGACGCGGGGGAGGCGTTCGAGAGGTTGGAGAGGGCCCCATCGTGTCCCTTGGAGCCTGGGGAAGTCGCCCACGGGATCGAGGGGCCGTAAGCGGACAGTTTCGCAGCCGGAACGCAGCGACATGCAGAGCAAAGAGGCGGTTCCAAGGGATCACCAACATGAGGTGACCCTGTCAGGTGCGACTGCTCTCAACCATACATTGCCGTCTTGACTGCGCTTTGAAACACGCCTGTCGCGTATGCAACCACATATGTTTGGTGCGCTGCTGACATGTTTATTAAATGTCATAATTTTCTTCTTACCTTTTCGCCCTTTTTCTGATCTTCACCCCTCCGGGGTACAGCTTCATTTGCGTCGGATTTGTTTGCTATCAGACGCCTTTGCGACGCAATGCGCGCGATGTTGAATGCATCCTTTGTGTTGATTGGCATGTCCTTTCGATGTTATTTCCAGAGCGTGGACTCGCTGTCCAGCAGGTTTTTTAAGCGTTGCCTGGTTTCCAATACAAGGTACATTTCTATTGGTGGGAGCTCGCCCATAATCCTGAAGTGCAACTCGGCACTTCTTAGAGTTACTGCAGCGTGTGTGCGTGTGCATGTGCGTGTGCGTGTACGTGTACGTGTGTGTGAGGGCAGGCTGAATCCGCGAGGTTGTAGGGGTAAGACGTAATTCATACGCACTTCCGTGCAGCGCAATGTCGCTGCCGCTAACTCTATCGCAGTGCTGGCTAATTCACTGACGCTCCTCTGCATTGTTACACCGGCCAGACTCCGCTCTAGATCGTGGAGTGGTCCGAAAGGGCACGCCTTCCGTGTCCTCAGTTGGTCAGAGATGCTGACATATCCTGTAGAGAACAAACATCAACAAAAAAAGGTAATACCACACGCATGTTAGTCTCCAGTGATGTTTTTCGTGGAGAACAGGTACCAAGTACATGGTCGGTAAGGTCATGTTACCGCGCGACTATGTGATGATGACTTATTTCTTACGCTCGTACCATAGCCAATCTGGATAAACTTGATCATCCGTCCTTCATCCGCCTTATCCTCTGTCTTGCCTTATGATGCATCTTGGTGACACCCCGCTTGTCCGGGGCAATGCTGCATGCGTCAGCCACGAGTGGGCCGGGAGCTCCGTGGGAACGAGGACCCCGACCGGGTATCCAACGCGCTTGCGCGAGTTAAAGCTCGGCAAGCATCTTCCTTCATCCCATAGTCCTGAAGTGATAATTTCTGGTCGGAAGGGCTCTAATAAAAATAAAAGACGGATGAAGTTGTTGCCCTGTGCACTTCATCATGCAGACATCGTCCCTCGATTAGTGCTGGTTACGATCACGTGTGTCAACTGCCAGCGTAAGGTAGAGATTACCTTTTTTTACTTATTCTCGTGTTGTGTTGAATTCTTGTACTGGTGTCTTCCCTACTGCATTTCTCCATTTTAATACCGCTGCGGGGCAGCTGGGATGCTGCTTGGGAGGCATACAGCTAGCCACGTGTGGACAGGCCGGGGAACAGTCCGCGCGCGCAGGCCGTGCCGGGAAGATCACTCAAGTCCCTGTCCAAAAACAAGGGCCTATGCGTATGGACGGAAGTGCAGCAGATGGCCCTGTGAGACAACATCTCACTTCCAAGTGCCAAGAGCACGTCCAACACAAGTTCATTAGTGACTGTACAGGTACCCTTGAAGGTTTGGACATAAAATTGTGCATCTAGAAGGTAGTCGGATGTATATGTCACCTGTGCGCTTTTAGATTGGTGAATTGTGCGGATTGACCTGTACAGCACTGCGAAGTCTTGCTGGAATCTAGTGGTAGAATTGTACGAGTGAAAGAAAACCTCCTTTTTCGTGTTGATGTAGCCGCTAATCTGTTCAGAGAACAGCCTCAAAGTTGTATGAAACATTTTCTTCAAAAGGTATTCCAAAGCATTGTTCCACGACGATCACTCTCGCGCGCACAGCACCCGCCGCTTGTTGCTTGCAGTGGCCAACGCTGTTCGTTTTGACGGAACCTGCAGTCCGGGCCATCGCTGTCCTTGCTTCCCAGACTGGGGGGTGGTAGGCTCAAACCTTGTGATAAGTTTTTTTACCAGTTAATTCTGCAAAAGGATAAACGCTCTCAGGCAAACATGGGACGGACTCGTTCGTTTCTGAACATATCCCCATCCACTCTACTTCAACGATAATGAAACCTCCCATTGCTTTTTTCTGGAGAGGGGCCCCTCGAAAAGAATACTGATGGCATATCATTATTCCCGGTTAAGGGCTTAAGGGCCATTCCGTCCCACCGCGTATATATTCCGACTGCCATTCTGGCGACGCGTGGCGGGATCCCCTGGCCGATCCTTAGGCCCTTAGAGGGATGCGTCATATCACATTGGTCCCCTCCCTGACGCGGGAGGCGTTCTGACCCGCGCGGTCGACCCGGATGGGCACAGAAACTCTCATTGAGGTATCCCTGGTCGCCGCAGGTGGCCCAATGATTGGCGCGTGGACTGCAGTTCTATTTGATGGGCCCACGCTGGAATTGTGTTGGAGGGTGCACGGTTCGGTACTGGGTGACCTGACCGGCACAGAACCCTTCCATTGTCTCAGTGTGAACACTCATCATAAGCTCTCTTGTTTCCTTTCATTGTCAGGGTGCCCGGCCCACGCAAGAGGCCCCCTGTCACTCGGTGTCCCGTTTCCGTCCCTGTCGAGCAAATCCCCCTGACTGACAAATCTCGAGAACACTTATTGACACAGAATACCATGTTACGCGCTTTGGGCCCCTGAATGATACACGAGCCCCGCATTGTTGCAGGGGCCCCGACCAACGTAAACCGCGGGGTCGGTCGTGTCCCTGCTTGGGGAGTGGACCCCCTGATCTCTGACCGACACGGAGCCGACTGTTCGGTGTTGGTGATCTCTGGCCGAAACGGAGGAATGCTCTATCTCAAAGGTCCGTCCGTTTGTCCGTCCCGGTGGCTCAGTTGGTTAGAGCACCTGCCCTCCGATTCACCCACCCGTGGCGGGGTGGGTTCGAGTCGCTTTAGGGCGCTCGCTATTTGCCCTTGACAGGTATGGCCTGCGGCCGGTGGCAGCGGTCGCGCTAAAGGTCAGTTGACGTCAGAGGGCAGGACGGACCGTGCCGAGCATTGCGGCACGTTAAGCTTTCGCCACCAAATTCTGCCGTTGACATGGAATTGCGCGATCGGATGGTAGGAGTCAGGGCTCACACAACAAGCACTGCTTAGCGTGAGCTCTGATCCCAGAAATCCATCCATTCAGGGCGTTCGGATCAAATCTTTAAAAAAGGTGGCAAATCGGTGCAAGAGGCGACCCAGCTGACATTTGAGATAACGGCCCCACGAGCCTTAATGTAGCCTTAAGCCAGCTCTTTGGGTCCTTCAACCTTCCAGTAGGGTCCTTATTCCTTGGGCTCAAAGAGACCTTTTCGTCCCTTCTCCGGGCCCCGTCAAACACCGCTCTTGGCCGGCTCGGGGTCACTTGACGCCACATGACCCCTTTTAGGCACTGTGGCACCTGACCGACACAGGAGCTCCTCATTGTGTTAGGGTCCCTGAGCATTGCAAATCGCGGGCCCCAGCCTCGTTCCCGCTTGGCAAATCGACCTCAAGGGCTCAGACAGACATGGTGCCGACTGTCTGACAACGTGTCGAGACCCTGTGCAGTAGGGATGGAGAACTCTACTAAGAGGGCTCTAGTAGAAACCCTCAGACTGACATTTCCCCTCACGGAACTACGGGTGGAGGGGGAGGGGGGGGGGGGGCGCCCGAGTCCAATCAGGCCCTTCATCCTTGGTCACGAAGAGCCCTTCGGTCCTTCCACGGGCCTCCTCAGACTGCCCGTGACGGACCAGGGTCCACTAGCCGAGACATAACTCCCTGCTATGCACTTCGGGCCCCTGACCCACACGGGGGCCCAAACACGGTGTCAAGACCCAAACCAATGTAAATCGTGACCCCCGGCGCTGCTCCTGCTTGGGAAATGGGTCACCCAGTGTTCTGGCTGACATGGAGCCAACTGTTCGGTGTTCGTGATCTCTGGCCTACTTAGACACTTGTACTGTCTCAGTGGGTCCTTAAACGGTGCCAGGGGACCTCCGACTGATATTTTGGGTCACGGCCCTACCGGCCACGATTCTGTATGCAACCTAGAGCCAGTCCTTCGGGCCCTTACACCCTCCAACCGGGCCTTTGATAGTCAGTTCCGTTGGGCCCGCCCAAGCACCTCTGGGTTCATCAAACACTGCTTATTGTTGGCTAGGAGCCCTTGTTAGCACAGGACCTTCTTTTCGGCGCTGTGGGACCCTGAGAGGTACAAGGTCCCGGTCAGTGTAAAACTCCGGCCCCGGCTTTGTAACTGGTCGGGAAGTAGTTTCTCAGACCGATACCAACACGGACTACTGCGTACTACTGCGCAGTACTGGCGGTGCCTGACGGACGTATGGGCCCATATTGACTGAGGGGGTCCCTGATCGGCGCAAAGGGTCCTATGACTGCCATCTGAGCGCCCGTCCGCACAGACCAGGGCTCATGAATAGGACTCCGACCAGCCCTTCTTTTCTTTAGACCCTCCTTTCGGGCCTTGAATCATCAGACCCAATGGGCCCTCCAGGCTCTTGTGGCCTTCTCGAACACTGTCTCGGCTCGAATCGAGGTCCGTTGCCAACACAGGGCCCATATTACGCACTGTGGGGCCCTGATAGACGCTGGGGCCCTGACCAATGTGAATCACTCGCTCCGGCTTTGTCCCTGCTTGGAAGGAGCCCCCAGACCCACGCCGCCACGGAGTTGGCAGTGCGTTGGCGTCTGACCGAAATTTAGACGCTTATGAACTCAGGGGGTCCGGATCAGCGCGCATGGCCCTTTAGCATTGGAGGGCCCCTGAATACGACCTCTGCTTTCGGACCCACCGAGCCGTCAAGTCGGGCCCTCAATCGTAGGTTTCAAGGGACCCGAAAGGGCCCCTTGAAACCTACGGGACACATGCTCCCTGTCCCCCCTCCCCCCCCCCCCTACTCTGCCTGCGCTACTGTTATCGTCCAAGGGCACGATTCGCAGTGCTATGGTCTCGTTGAGGCTATAGGATGCAGCTATTCGTTGGCCATCTGCTGCACTTAAGCCGTGCTCCGCAGCCCTGGCCATTTTGGTAGGTCGATCAGCGAATACACGGGCCTGGCCACGAAGGTTGACGGAGCGGCGGTGCAACGTTGCCATTGGCTTAGCGCTGATGCGCGTGGCGTTTCTCCCCGGTCTTGCAGCGAGCCCTGCAGCGTAGGATGCTGACCGGCACTGCTTGAGCTTGGCCAGCATCGCATGGAGACGTTTGTTATGTTCCTCTACTCCGGATCACCCACTGCGCGAGCGCCCATGAGTACGGCACTCAGTCCCCGCACGCTGCACCCTGGCGCCCACCACTCGCTCCGGCGGAGCTGCTCCCGACGGTCTCGGCGCCGCGGATCGACTGCCCGTGCCGGTCCTCTTGAAGCGGTGCCGGACGCTCCCGGCACGGAGAGAGGCCCAAACCACGCTGTTGGTCGGTACTGGGCGTCTGCACGGGCGCACTTAGCCATTTTCAATCAGTTAGAATGACATTGAGAAACATGCGTCGCGGATATTACAAACACGGAAGTTTTTG